TCATTCTACGGTACTTATGGAAAATCCTGTCGACCACAAGAGACAGTGGCAATCGCACCAAACCAAAAAACCAAATTACTAGATACAAGAAAAACATTCTATTCTTATTTTTCTTTCAAATTTATTACATTATCGTTTATTTATAGAGTACAAAGTCCAAAATCCAGGCATCCATTATCCGGACCTCAAAGCCACAAACACTTTTTTTTTTTAAATTATTAATGCTTTACGCATGCGCATTTGAGTTTTCCTTTTTTAATAAAACATGTGGAGATTTACACTTAAAAATTTGGATTCTCAATTTCACTTAGGAACTAAATAAAATACCTCGTTACGGAAAAACAATCATGTAAGCATAAATTTGCGAGATTAATAATTTGGCTCCGTAACTAAGGATCTACTTAGCATACATTTTAAAGAGAAAAATTCACCTATTTTATACACCTGACGCCAACCTAGCGAGTCATTATTTATTATATTTTGCTTTCATCACCGCATGTTAATCAATACATGACAGCTTCAGTAATACCTTATGCTGTGATGTCTAAACTTTTTTTATATTAGTAATTGAATACCAGGAATATGGCAACCTTTTATGCCAACATTACGCTTGGTAATTATTATAGATTTTTAAATACTCTAAGAAATGTTGATGAGAAAAAATTCAACAAAAATTTCTTTTTATATGCTAAAAATAGATTTTGTTAATGAAACTCATAGGCCAAAAGATTACATTTAGTGCTATTTTAATTAAGAATAACTGATATTCACCATAAACCCAGAAGCTGTGGCAGAATATGTCGGCACCGGGCGGCAGAATTTAGGGAAGATGACATTTGTGGAAGCACCAAGCGGCAAAATTAAAGGATGAGAAGTTTTTATGATTTAGGGAAAGCACTGGGATCTAAAGTTTAGGTGCAGGGAAAATTTAGAATTTAGGAAAGTGCTTTTTAGCAGAATTTAGGACCCCTAGAGACTGCACCAGGCGGTATCGAGTGCCAGCCCTAGATAAAAGCCTTAAGTATATGTGGGAGTTTATTTATTCAGGATTCGGATTAGTTTGAAGCATGTGCAAGAAATAAACGTAGGTGTAGTAAATAACTAAACTAATACAATTCAAGCTTAATTCAGTACACAATAGGAGCAAGACAAAATTTAGCGAAAAAACTTGGCTTTCGTCGCCAATCTTGTGACACACAGCCAATAATGTATAACAGATGCTATTAAGCTAGGCTAAAATTATCTTTATGTGCTGCTCCCTGATCTTCTAATTTGATCCAGCTTATTATTTTTTGCAGACTGTTATAATTATGGCAATTTTATAAAAAACTAAGCTTGAACTTTCGATTATGTCGAAAAGAGTTTCCAAATCTGGAGCTGCCAAAAGATCTACAAAGCGAAACCATGTTTCGATGTCCATTAAACAAAAAGTGGAATTGCTGCAAAAAATGGATAAAGGCATATCCGTCTCAAAAAATTAAGCGAGGAGAATGCCATTAGAAAGTCCACTGTATATGACACAAGAAAAAAGAACATTTTGAATTTTTTGGGGAAGCACCTTAAACAACTTACATTGAAAGAAATGTTTAATAAAGTAAACAAATAAATATTAAGCTTTTTCTTTTTTTGTAAAATTTGATACCCTTTTGATTACAATTGTCCTTTATTACATAAATTACGATTTCATGTTTTTAATTGTATAATTTCTACATGCCGTCTTACCAGATTTAAATTGATGATCTATTATCCGGAAAAATCCCAAATTCGGAATTGACAAGTTCCGACCAATCCAGATTCCAGACTTTGTACTGTATTTATTTTTTATTAAGGAGATATACAGTAAAAGCAATATTTTCACTAGGCTTTAATTTTCGCAAGAAAATATGTTTTGCAAAGTACTTTTTCTTGCCTTAAATAATAATAAAAAATCAGAAATTTTTCCCTAACATAATTTCGCGAAATCACAGATATCTTCATTTTTGTGAAAATTATGGTGGCTGATCTTTGGAATATGGTAACTGGTAGTTTGGCGACATTTTGGAGGCGATAAAGGTTACTACCTAGGACTTTGGTAATAAAGTGAGTACTCAGTTCCGATTACGCATTATTTTGTGTGAGGGAAATGAGAGATCATGAGATATGTCATGTGACATTAATGGACGAATTACAGTTCTTTAATCGGAAAAGGGGGGAAATCTGGAAATTTTGTATTTAGCTTTATTCTGTGTTGTGTGAAACAGTGTTGGTTAATTTTTGGATCCCGTGGCCCTAACTCAAGTGAATTCGAAATGGGTATTTAGTGGGATTGAAAGGGGTAGTAATAAGTGTTTTTTTAAGGTTGTGCGAGATAGAAGTAAAGATGTTTTATTAAGTTATTTATTTTACCTGGTACCTTGCTGTGAACTATAAGTATGATTTTAAAGATCCTGAAACAGGCGCACATACGCTTGCTTTTTATTTAGCGAAGGAAATGAGAAAAGTTTATCGGCCACGTAATCAAGATTGTGAAGAAGATTAGGTAAGTTAGTATTTTTAATTATTTGAGGATATTATTTTTATGCATTGTTCTAAATGTAAGGAGTAAATAAAGTAATATGGTATTATTGGAAAATTGTTATTAGCAATGATTTAGTTTAAAGTAATTAGGATTGTAAGCTAATTTTTATTAATTTAATATATGTGCTTATTTATATTTTAAGTAGTGTTTTTGAATTTAATTATATTTTAATTAAATGATAGTTTTTTTGTGAATTATATGTTTGTAGGAATTTGGTATACTTTCAGTGGAAGTAAACGTGCATGGAAATAATTTTAAATATTTGACACTAAGTATTTGTAACCATTTGTAATGTTTGCGGCATGAATTCGTTGGTGACGTTTATAATATAATAGATAATTTAGAGGTAAAAGTTTTTGGATATTTTATTTATTTTATACGTGGAAATGTTCATCCTTGGAAAGGGTATATACTTTTTCGCGATCAGGTAATTTCATATATGTGCTTTTTACCAAGTTTAAAGACTCACAGAATTTTTTTGCATTTTCGTGAAATTTTTGTAATTTATGAGAAAATAGCAGTGTAGATAGATAAAGTTAAGAGTGTGTGCAATGCCATTTTTGTGCAATTCTGGGATTTTTTTTTAAGTAAAAATAAGTCGACATGTAAATGGTTTATGTGTATGTGCTATTCTGAAAAATGCACAAGGAGTTTGCGATTGTGCACTTTTTCCCAATTTTGCTGTTAATATTTGTCATGATTAAGCAGTTTTGTTACATCAAATCTCTAGCATAAGTGTAATTCGGCTAGTAGATTGTTGGGAAAAGTGTTCAGTAAATAAAAAGAGAAGAAACATGGTGGCGAAAAAAAAATAGAGGGTTACTGTAGCAAAGTTGGTCGCGAAATTTTCACCAAAAAATCGCCAAGTTACCATAATCCAAAGATCAACCCAATTTTCCAATAATACCATATTATTTTATTTACTCCTTACATTTAGAACAATGCATAAAAATATCCTCAAATAATTAAAAATACTAACTTACCTAATCTTCTTCAGAATCTTGATTATGTGTCCGATAAACTTTTCTTATTTCCTCCGCTAAATAAAAAGCAAGCATATGTGCGCCTGTTTCAGGATCTTTAAAATCATACTTATAGTTCACAGCAAGGTACCAGGTAAAATAAATAACTTAATAAAACATCTTTACTTCTATCTCGCACAACCTTAAAAAAACACTTATTACTACCCCTTTCAATCCCACTAAATACTCATTTCGAATTCACTTTAGTTAGGGCCATGGGATCCAAAAATTAACGAACACTGTTTCACACAACACAGACTAAAGCTAAATACAAAATTTCCAGATTTTTTCCCGATTTCCCCCCCTTTTCCGATTAAAGAACTGTAATTCGTCCATTAATGTCACATGACATATCTCATGATCTCTCATTTCCCTCATACAAAATAATGCGTAATCGGAACTAAGTACTTCTCACATTATAACCAAAGTCCTAGGTAGTAACCTTTATCGCCTCCAAAATGTCGCCAAACTACCAGTTACCATATTCCAAAGATCAGCCAAATATATTAATAAAATTACCTAGAATTTAGGTATGAATGAAATTGATACCTAATTCGATACAATAAGGTTTCAATGAAACATTAAAAGTTGTGAATAATCCATGCATTCTTCCATAAAACTTGACATTTTTGGTAATTCATCACTCTCTCAGTACACATTGGGTCAAGTTTGTGAGACTTTATTGACTTATTATTATTGTTGTAAGACTCTATTGTTATTGAAAATAATTTTAATGTGGGAAAATTAATAATAAATGTAATTGCAATAAATGAATGAATACATATAATAATCTGATCAGTTTTCAAAGAAAACTAAACATAAAGGTACGTGGAAATCATCTGCATTTTGGAATTGCTGGTGCAAGATCACCAATCAATGGCTATAACATTCCCAGTGTGTATTATTCTGTTCCTGAAAATGTGTATTATCCAGTGTTTATTATTCTGTTCCTGGCATTCAATTTAGAACGATAAAATTTATGAATTACAGATGGAAAATGAAAAGATTTCAAGACAAAAGTTATATGCAACAGATGGGCCTTTTTAAAGGACAGCATTTTAAATTGATCGATTACGTGGCTTTTACATTATGAATGGATGAATGCCTTACGGAATAAAATTACTTCAGTAATTAAGATCAAAATTTATCCATTGGATTGTAAAAGAGCGTAAAATTGTATTTAAAAAAATTATGGTACTATGTTCCAGTTAACGCAGATGGTCAACTATACAAAAACTTACTCAAGGTAAAAAATTAAAAGCAGTTGCTTTCCTAAGAATTCAACATAAAATAATTCGTTGCTTTTAGATTAAATAAAATACTTTACTTCACAAAGGTTGCGTAAAAATAACAGGATTTCTAGGCAAACACAGTAACATATACCAGATTCAAATTTTGACCACTTTAAAAATGAAACTCACACTTTATACAAAAGACACTCCGAAGAAAAATCCTCCAAAATCCTTTGTCTGTTATCACTGGTAAGTTTCTCAAGAGAAGAAAGAAAACACTAAATCCAGTCTAAAGACAGCTAGAAAGATTAAAAACAAAAAAAAAATACTATTAAAAGTTACAAATCTGAAATCATAAAAAAAGTACCTGCGACAGTGCTAAAAGATAAACGGATTTCAAATAACTATGATATACATAATTAAATGAAGATTAAAAATCTTAAAACACAAATTTGCCATTACAGATGTTGAATTCACGCACATCTATTTACATTGAATTTAACCGGTGTTGCCGTATTGGACAGACAGACAGACAAAGTAGACAGATGTCTTTTGTTGCACCCGCTAAGTCTTTCTGCACCGATGGGCGAAAAATCAAGCATAGGTGCGAAGGAAAGGTATATAGAAAGGGGGGCAATTTCGTATTTCAGAGGAGAGTAAAAAGGAACTTCGTATATTTTATACGAGTTCGAAAGGCCAGGAAGAAAAGATGGGACAAAATAAAGCAAAAAATAAATGGCCCAAAAGTAATGGAGAGGAAAAAAAAATTTATTTATAATAAAAAAAAAAAAAAAAGGGGCCTATAGAAAGAAAGGAAAGGAAGGAAGAGTAAGAGAATTTTGTTAAAAAAAAAAAAAATATAAAAAAAAGAAAGAAAAAAAAAAAAGAAGAAAAAAACACGATTGTGTTCATGATTGTAGTCAATGTTGTTATCATTTACATTAAATAGAGTCTTCCAGGTGTGTGTAATGAGTGTGTTTTGTAAAGCTGAATAGAGTAAAGATGGGGAAAATTAATAATAAAATAATAAATTTTGAGGGTCCAGTCACATACGTATAAGTCAAGTTTAGAAGCTAACTTTTGCTATAACAGGGAAACTAAAATTTAAAATTTTTAAATTTAATATTTTATTTTTTTACATGGAAACCAATATTAGCCTCTACCTTGAGATACAGTAACAGAAGACACATAAGATCAAGATACATATAATATCATGCAAAGTTTACATTAACTAAGTAACATCATCTATTGCGGTTTCCAACATATTTATATATTCAGAAAACACCATCAGATAAAATCATAAATCCAAAACAAGGCGAGAACATATCAGCAAAAAATAAATAAGTAAATAAATTACGGAGTTCTTTTATTATTATTATTAATTTTAAAAAAAACATTTTATTATTTATTAAGTTAATGGTCATAATTTATTATGTGTACATTTTATCAATTGAGGCACACTGTATTAATATATGATTTTAATTTAAATAGATAGGAAATATAGATTAAAGGAGCAAAAACTACAACTCTGTACATTCATTGAGGCCCGAGATCGTGTTTTTCCCTCTCGAGACATTCCTCAAAGGGGCTCCAATGGGTAGGGCTAACACTACTGATAAGGGCTACTGATAAGGATAGCGTCCTACGAGATGGTAACCAAAAAAGAACCCACATGATTAAAGCAATTACTAAGTATTTAATGCCAGAACATAATAAAATGAGCATAATAATAATAATGATCATAATAAATGAATGAATTTAAAGGTACTTTAGGACAGATTTGATTTAGCTTAGAGAAAAGAAGTTCTACTTATTTGAACGCTCCGTCTTAGTGCTGCAAAAGATTGCAAGGAAGACAAGACCCCCCAGGTACAGGAGAACTCCCGGCTTTGAGAACGAGACAATGCAGAGGATATTCGCGAAAATTTTCTGAAATAAATGAAGATTTTCCGGAAAACACCTTTGAAAATTCAGGAGCTCTTCCAAGATCCTGCCTCCATCGTACGTGATCCTGCCGTATTGGAAATATGAATATCATGTTGAAAACAAACAGACAGACAAAGTAGACAGATGTCCTTGTTTTGCACCCGCTAAGTCTTTCTTCGCTGATGGGCGAAAAATCAAGCTTAGGTGAGAAGGAAAGGAGGATAGAAAACGGGTAATTTCGTGTTTCAGAAGAGATAAAAAAAGGAACTTTACTTTGTTTAGGGCACTTTTACTTTAAGGTTTAGTCTTTATACGAGTTCAAAAGGCCAGGAAGAAAAAAATGGGACAAAATAAAATTAAAATAAGTGGCCCAAAGTAAAGCAGGGAAAAAACAAATTAAAAATTGCCTATAGAAAGAAAAGGAAAAGAAGTAGAAAATTTCCTAAAAATACGATTTAGGTCCATGCGTGTAGTCAAAAGGGAAGGAGGCTGTGTACATTTACTTTAAATAGTGTCTCCTAGGTGTCCGTAGTGAGTGTGTTTGGTAAAGCTGAAAGGATGTAAGGTTGGGGGGAATAAAAAGAAAGGGGGACCAGTTACATAACATTCGAGAGTTGTTAGAAGTCACACACAGATCGTATTTTATTCTCGAGTGTCAAGATGTAGAAACATCTTTTTACTCGACTTCTGATAAAGAACGGGAGGGGGAGAGAGAGAGAAGGGTGAAAGGAGTGTGGGAGGCGGATGAAAGAGAGTGAGGTCCGCACTAGCGGCGGCGAAAAAAGGTGGGTGTCAAGTTCAGTGTCGTTATAAGATGAAGCCGCGGGTGGTAAAACTGCAGAGTCAGTTTTGCGTAAATGAGTCAATTAAGGTTGTAAATCTTATGTGGGGAGGATATCACAAGGGTAGCGATGTTTTTCTCTGGGACGCGGGGAGTGTCTGAGAGTGCTAATAAGGCTATTACTGTGGGTTTGTACAGTCGGTCACAAAAGTATTCGAACACCGGTACCCTATCAGAAAATGACAAGATGGCGTTTTTTTTCTCTTTCTCTCTGTGTGTCGTGTTATTCCATCCTAGGTTTTCTTCTCCCCCCCATCTTGGAAAAAACTGGAAAAAATTGGTTACGATCTCTTTTTGAATGGGAGATGCCATTTTGAGAAAAAGCTGACGACCCTATCTTGGAGAATGAACATGACCGCTCTACACACCCTTTCTCTCTCTCTCTCTCTCTTTTGAATTGGGAAGCCATTTTGGGAAAAAGCAGACGACCCTATCTTGGAGAATGGAAATGAACGCCTCTCCCTCTCTCTTTGAAATGGAAAGCCATTTTGGGACCTCTATTCTTGGGGAGCGGAGAAAACTGAAGTCTGCACTTCGCTGTCTCTCTGAAAAAAGCGGACCCTCTTCTTCTGATCTTGAAGAACTGGAAATGAACGCTCTACACGATCTCTCTTTGAATTCAGAAGGTATTTTGGGACCTTCTAATGTTGGAAAACTGAAATGAACGCTCTACGCATTTTCTCTCTCTCTCTCTCTTTGAGATGAGTAGCCATTTTGGAGGATTCTCCACCACCATCCTAACCTTGGAAAACTGAAATGAACGCTCTACACCTTCTCTCTCTCTCTATTTCTCTGAAATGGGCAGTCATTTCAAAACTCCCTAACTTTGGAAAAAAACAGAAATGAACGCTCTACACCATCTCTCTTTGAAAATGGGGGGTGTCATTTTGAGACCTCCCTCCCCTAAACTTGGAAAAAAACTGAAATGAACGCTCTACACTTTCTCTCTTTGGACATGGGTAGCCCTTTGGGGACCCTCTCCTCTTGGTACAAAAAAAAAAAAAGAACTGAAGTGAAGGCTCTACACAATCTCTCTTGGAATGGGATCCATATTTCGGGAAACGTGGATCACCTCATGCTGGAAAACTGAAGTGAACCACCAAGATTGGACTCTATATAATATTTTTTTTTAATTGACATCATGACCCTCCTCCAATTTGTTATTAAAAAAGTTTTTTTGTTTTGGTTTTATCCCATTTCCGATGTGATTTCAGAAATGCAATTCCATAACAGTTCAATTTCATTCGAGGTTAAATGATCTAAACAGTCTTTGACCCACCCATCCGTATGATTATTTTCTTCTCCTTCCTGTTGCATCAAATTTTGTAAGTCCATATAATCATTCCATACGGGAAGGGCTGGATCCTCACAAGGCTGTCTTGAAACACTTGGAGTCTCTTTGGGATGAGTGGAGGGATCTAGGATGTCTGGACCCGGCTGCGATTCTACCTCCATGATTTCTGGACCCGTTGGAACTTGTTTACCCGGCCGAAATTCTACCTCTACGATTTCTGGACCCGTTGGAACTTGTGAACCCGGCTGTGATTCTGCCTCCATGATTTCTGGACCCGTTGGAACTTGTGGACCCGGCTGACATTCTACCTCTACGATGTCGGGACTTTTTGAAGCTTGTGGACCCGTCTGACATTCTACCTCTACGATGTCGGGACAGGTTGGAGGAGAAGAAGAAGAAGAAGAGGATACTGGAAGAGGTTCTGTCTGTGAGGAGTCCAAAAGAGGTTGCCTGTTTGAACAAGTCGGGGAAGAAGAAGAAGAAGAAGAAGCTTCTGGGTTCTGAAGCGGATCTTGCACGCCAGGTAGGTTCCGGTAAGTCGACCGTTTTTTAAGAGGTAATTTTTTTTCTTCCTCCTCATCTTCAATTGTGATGACTTCAATTTCATTCCGTTGCCGGGTCGATTTTGTTTCGGGCCAAATGACGGTTTGGTCCAGCTCCTCTTATCATCTAAGGAAGGGATGGGTAAAGGTGGCGGGGGGTTTTCTTCTTCTTTTCTTGAAACATCATCGGCGGCGATTGGAAAGAAATCTCCTCTTTCAATTGTTTCCAAAGCGAGTACGAGCACCGATCGACGAGAAAGAGACTCTTCTGGGTTGTGACGATGAGATATTGCGTTTTCGGGGAACGACATAGTTTTGAAAAGGTCTTAGAATATATTTCTTATATTTCATCCTGTCGCTGACTTTAAAACTTCTTTCCTTCAGATTGGGGGACGATGATTCGTAATAGGCGAGAGGAGCGGCTGTGGTCTGAACAATATGAACTTCGTCCTCAGCCGTCGTTCTCACTCCAAACGTAAAATATCGTTTCGTGAGAAAAATATTCTTCCACCGAAAACTCGTGCGCGGATCCGTATATCGCCGGTCTGTTTGAATGGGCCGTCTCAAAGCTCGATCCATCCGATTCCAAGAGAAGGGAGATTCCTCTTCTTTGTTTGTTGCGATTCGAATAAATTTCTGTATATATTCTGAACGAGCAGGTTGGAGGATTCGACATCTTGGTTGAAAGAAACGATCGCTTGATGAGGTGGTAAATGCGGAATAAATGTCGCACAATGACACACGCCAAAAAAATTTTCAAGTTGGAGATTTGCTTTAGCGTCTTCAAATCCTCCCCGTTCGAAATCCGTTGAGTTGGAAAAACGTCTAATAGCGACATGGCTCCCAATGGAAAAGAAATGATCTCGCCCAGTACTCTCGCCTTTTTATATATATAGACACACACAGACACACATAGAGGCTCTATGA